TTTTCATGATTTTTTATTATTTTTTCGTGAGTTTTTTTAAAGGCTGTACACTGATTTTTTTTGAGTGAAGGACCGCTCGAGGAACAGAGGGGTCGTCATCTCCGTCACCCTCAGCACCGCCCGCCCGCCCGCTGGGCTCACCTTGGCGCTCCACATGCAGACCATGCCCGTGGCCTGGTCCTGCTGCAGGTACCGGCCGTAGCCCGCGGCCAGCAGGTCCGGGTTGTCGCTGTTCCACGTGAGGCAGGTGACGGCGCGGCCGGCGGCCCACTCGCACTCCATGCGCCACAGCGGGTGCAGCCGGTACTCGAAGCGCAGGTCGGGCGCCAGCGGGTCACTCTCCGGGAGCCCGCGGTACAGCACCTGCCGGCCCGGAACGGATCAGTTCATCGGAGTTCTTCTAGCGGAGTGTGTCGAACTCGGAAACTAAATACTCCAAAGTTCGATCCTCTCTTTCAGCCTGCACCTGCGACGGCTTGAACGCCTGTGACGCCAGGACGCGCTCCATCTGCAGCGCAGCCCGCCGGAAGCCCGGCAGCAGCAGCACGGCGCGCAGCTTGTCGTCCAGGATGGCGTCCTCCCTCGAGTCGTCCTTGGAGTCCACCGAGCGCGTGTCCGCGTCGCTCAGGGACAGGGAGCGCTGCGAGGAGATGCGGTCCAGGACGGTGCGGCGCAGGGCGCGGCGGCGGCGCTGCACGGCGCGCCTGTCGGCCTGCGGGGGCTGCGGCGTCGCCTGCGGCACGGAGGCGGCCAGGGGCGCGTCCGGGACGTCGCCTCCTGCGGGCGTGAGGGTGAGCGCCTGAGGAACGCGGGGTAGGCAGTCCCGGTGAGCGCGCCTGCCCACCGGGCCGCCCGCCCGCGCCCGCCCACTCCGAGCAGCGCCTCACCGTGCTCTATGTCCCACGGGCTGGCCTGCGCCGCGGCGTTCTTCCTCCGGACGCGACCCAGGTTGGTCTCGCAGGTGCGCGTCCACACGGCGCCCGTCTGCACCTCCACGTCGTTGAAGGTTCGCTCGGCGCGCGAGCGCCACTCCTCGAAGCGCGCGTTGTCCATCTGGTACTCGGCCGCCTCCTCCGAGTCGGCGGGCGCAGTGGTTGAGGGCAGGTCCAGCAGCGAGAAGGTCTTGGTCTCGTGTAGGATCACCTCGACGGGCGTGTCTGCCGGCGAGAACGGCGGCGGCTGCGACGCGTACAAGCACGGCGTGAGGTGTGAGGGTCGTCACTCGGTGTGGTCGCTCGTGCTCGGCCCTGCAGGGCCTCACCTTGAGCGACACGGGGCGCGGCAGGGCGAACTGCGAGGGCGCCACGTCGTCGGGGTCGCAGACGGACAGGACGGAGAGCGCCGAGGACGCGGGCACGGAGGGGTTGAGCGCGAGCCCGCCGAAGAGGGACGTGCCCCCGATCGACGAGTCCCTCGTCACCATGATGCCGCTCGAGGTGGACGGCGCCGAGTGGACGCCGGGGCCGAGGGGCCCCATGGGCGGGACGGCGCCCATGCCCATGGGGCCCAGCCCGGTCAGCAGCTCCCAGGCGTTCTGACGGGGCGGGCAGGAGGACAGATTGCGTCGGTGGCTTACACAAATTACGTATCTTTTTGGTGGTGAGGCATTGTGTATCGTCGAGTCACGTTTAAGAGGAAACTTATTCGAGGCGATGACATAATTATCATTTGTCTGGTTGGGCAATATTTATCGTCGGTCGAAAAAATCTAGAAGAACATCCCTTCCCCGAAAAGTAACAGAGTTTGCGAGCGGTTCCTTAACCTGTCTCACCGCAACGGGCTGGCGGTCGTCCGCGAAGCCCACGTCGTGCAGGGACCGGGGGGTGACGTCGGCGCCGTCGAGCTGCAGGCGCGGGACGTGCCGCCGTGCCAGGCCGCCGCGGCCCCGGAGGGCGACGCCCCCCGCGCCCCCGAGGGGGCCCATGGTGGGGCCGAGCGCCTGCATCGACCGGCGCCCGCCGCTCAGGCGCTTCTGGAACGAGATGAGCGACTGCCGCGAGGCGCCCGCCGGCGAGAAGGTGCACACGCTGCTGCCGCCCGCCATCACTGGAGTCGTCTGGGAGAAGGGCTGGAGAAGGGGAGGGTCCGTTCACTCGGGTGACTCGCGCACCGCCGCCATTGCTGGCGTCTCGAGCTCTCGTTGCCCTCGGCTCGGTGTAAGAATCGATACTCAGTTCCCCACAAGAGAGGAGATGCACGGCGTCGACCGACGAGGAAAGTATACCGTCGGCGTGCCTGGCGAGCACAATGTTCGCAAATGAGGACAACGAGTCACCCACGAAGCTCCGAATGATGTTTATAAGGCGGCCGAGTGCCTCCTGGTTACGGACAAGAGCGAAATCCGCGGCGTTCAAGTCCGGGCACGGGAGTTGCTGGTTCCTAGCTGGGACAAACACGAACAAACGCGAAACTTACCGGAGAGAGTGGCGAGGACTGGCCGAGTGGAGCCGACCCACCGACCCAGCCGACCCTACAGCTAGCGCCCGCGGACGGGAAGATACTCGCCCGCCAGGCACGCGCGCCCAACAGGGCGGCATACCCCGCAGGCGCTGAGGCCGGGCCGCTGGCGCTGGGACACGCCCCGCTAGGCAGGACCGAGCTCCGAGCTCGAGCCGGGAAGGGCGAGCTGCCAGTCAAGCGTGCTAGCTAAAGCGTGTTCGTTGGCAGAGCGCGGGGATGATCGGTGGTGTGAATCTCGTTCCCGGAACATTTTTCCCGCTCTGCTGGCCATGTGACTTCGGGCACCTGGACACGTCCCTGTTTGTAGCTAACGATTGTAGCTACAGCCGACAGTGCCCGAGTCAGCTTAAACTGAACCGTCTAAAGACGAATTCATTACATCCGCCAATGCTAGAATATCAACCAGAAGTAAACAGCGCTAAGAACTAAAGCGAAAACGAAAGATATCAATGCCTCTCCGAAGCTCTCGCCTTGTCCAAG